GATTTCATAGGGTAATCCATCCATGCCTGGGCTACTTTTATGAGGAGTTCTTCTCGATCCATCTAGAATGTCACCAAATGAAATGCTGCTGATTATATGTTTAGCATCGCTTGGTGATACCTGTTTGTCTATCGTGTTTAGCATTGACTCAAGGTCGTGATGATCAATAGGTTCTGTGGAGTAAAGTGTAGAATAGAAATTGGAAGCTGCATCTAGTTTCGCTTTAATATCTAAGCATTCCAAGCCAGTTTCTGGATGCACAAGCTTAGTGATATTTCGCTTGATATTTCTCGATTCAGCTGTTCTTTTGAGGTATCCGGCCGATTTCTCATTGTTTTCGATCCATCGTTTACCTGCTCTGAGGATATCTATTTCGGCTATTTCGGTTTGTAACTTTGCAAGCTTATTCTCAACTTCAGGAAGCAAGATATTCAAACAAGTTGAGTTGTCGGAGTACCGCTTGAAGATATCATTTCTTTGACTTTGGAGCTGCTTGATCCGATCATTCCTCCATTGACATCTATTTCTGCAAAAGTTTTGAGTAACCTTTTTAACCATTTTCTTGAGTAGATCCCATTTCTCTTGTGGAGAGTTAGTATATTTGGATAGCTTATTAGTAATGTATTTTTCTATTTGTTCATTGAGCTTATGAGCGTATGCTGGGTTCTTGACTAAGTTTGGATTAGCTCTCCAGAGACCCTTTCCAGTTGAAGAGGTTCCTACGGTGAAGTTTATAGATAAAAGAGCGTGGTCTGTCCATTCTTTGTTCATGTATTCAACATTCCCGTTGTTGCAATTGTTGTGAATACTTTTGTTTGCAAACATATAGTCTATACAAGTGGATGAGTCTGCTCTTCGGAAAGTTGGTCGGTAGCTGATGTTGTCTTCCACGTAATTTATACAATCCTCAAACTGAGAAAGCATAAACCGCAGAAAGTGATGTGGGACGTTCGATCGTCTTGTGTTGTGATAAGTATTGTTGTCGAAGGAGAGATTGAAGTCCCCTGCTATGAAGAGATTTTGAATAATAGTGTTTGAACTATCCAAGGACTCTAGTTGATGGAGTATGCTCGAGAAGAAGACATTTCTGTCGACTGCATTGCTTGCTGGAGCATAGAGGTTTAGTATAAAAAAGGGTTGTATAGATTCGTCTGACCAAGAGATTTTTACGAGTAAAAATCTTTGATCGTCCGATTGTTGAATTAGTTCCATATTTTGGGACTGACTGAGATTAATGATTCCACAGTACTTGGTCCACAGTGTCTGGTGCGCTTGAAATTTCATGTTGAGTGATTGAGTTATTTTATCGAATGAATGAAGAGGTATATTTGTTTCTTGACATAGTAATATGTTTAGTTGCTGTTGTCTTAGATATCGAATAAAGTTGTCGGTGTGTTGTAGATTGTTATTTTTGTAAATTGTTCTGCAATTGATTGAGCCTATCTTCATATTTATGATCTTATTACTATGATTATTCATAATAATTATAAGTTGAGTTTAGTGGAGGGCTGTGGTGATCCTCCTGCCGCCGAGTTATTTTCATCATATTCGTCTTCAAATGTTGCATTTTCTTCTACTTCTAAACTATTGTCGGAAAGAGCGGATTTTTTCTTGGATCTTTCCACAGCTGAAGTAGGTGTAAATGCTTCCGAGTTGTTACGTTTCTGCATATTCATAGAGAGGCCATTAAATGTGACAAGTGGGTGCAGTAACCTCTTGGCGGCTTCTTTTCTGCCCGTTTTCTTCTGACTTGAATCTTCATCGATTGGAGTAAATAAGATACTACCGTCAATGTTCTCTTCGTCTACTGAGTCTAAAGTAGAAATGGCTTCCTGAAAATCATCTTTGTCTTCTGCTACAGATGTACTGTCGGGCTTACGATTATCTTCTTCTGACATTTCCGTATCCATTTCTTGAAGGTTACTCAATATAACCGTCTCTTTTTCGGTATTCATCTGCTCTACATTAGCTTTCATCACCCTAGAGCGGTGGGTTGCCACTTGTTTTCTCTTACGATTCCAAGGGGCATCAGGACATTGGGCTTTTAAATGTTGAGTACTCTCACAGATAAAGCAAGCTTTTCTTCTACGAAGAAGAACTGGACAATTCACTCGTGTATGATCATCAACATGGCAAAGATTGCAAATGGGCTTCATATTGCTCCAGACAATATGTAAATAGTGATCTTGTTCCCAAGATGGAATTTGGGGTGTAAGAGGCTCATAACTTTTTGTTTTATCCTTGACAAGGGTAACGTACCCCCTGCCATTAAACCAACCACCATCCACTGTATGATGGAGTCCTATTTCCAAAATGCTCCCATACTTCTCAAATAACTGAATCATCAACGGTTTCAATTTGTCATCCTTTTCATAAGGAATATTGGTGATCCCTATTCTGATCACATCCGAATTTTTATCCATCGTTGCCTGTACTTTGATTTTTCTACCGAGAATCAAAAACTCCTTATTCAATGCTTCCATCTTATCTTCTTCATTATCAAAATTAAGCTCAATGTACTGATGGGCTCTACCAACTTTTCTTTCCCTAAGGCCTATGCCTTTAGGAAATTGGTCTCTGAGAACCAGGTTAAGACTTCTATCTTTAAAATTCAAGCCTTCAAATTCTGAAGCGGCAATAACGATGGAGTGTTTATCAATAGCTTGAAGAAAAACTGTTTGACTTTCCAGATTAGCTACGTTATTAACATCTGACTTGTTGTGAAATGAGACACTTCGTTTTTGGTCTTTAACTGTTTGCGCCCATGTTTTGAATTCAAACGGTTTGTTGTTAGGATTATGGCGAGAATCGGCTACCCCAGGAGGATTATTAGCCTTGCTAGTAATGTCGTGATTAATAGCGGAAAGAACCATGTAAATTAGAATTTTTAACTAATATAATGGATTTTCAACAAATTTTGGAAAAAAATTACGGTAATTTTTGGAAATAACCAATCTTAAATTTTAGATAAAGTAATTGTATTTGAAAAAGTATAATTGGATTTTCATTCAAACTTTATAATGCGAAGATTAGAAAGCGTAGTCATACTATACGAACAAAACCTAAGACACAGGGATTGACTTTCTTTACGGACTTGAAGTATGCAAACCGATGTGACTCTAAACAAAATGATATAAAACTTTCAAGAAAGGTAATACAACATGTTTAAAAGCGTCTACCTATTACTATGATTTTTCTCTGAAACCATATATTGTTATTTGAGATAGGTTTCATATAAGCGTTTAGCTGCTTAATATTTGTCTCAATCATTTTAACAGCAACTTAAAATTCTCTTTAAAGAATGTTAAAGATTAGCTGTCTCATGCTGATAACATTGCTTTTCTAATACATGTTTAAGGCATAGATTGGAATGAATCCGATGCAATGTCAAATATATATAGGTATTAAAAAATCATTTGCTTGTTTCTAACTCGATGTTCCTGTAGTCCTTCCACATTTGACAAGGTTTGTAGCTAAATACTCTGCGTTTAGCAATGTGAGGATTATCAAGTGTTAGTTTGCCCGAGGTGAAATCCTTTGTAATCCATTTGGAGACTAGGGAGTCAAGCCCATCAACGTTACTCAAGCTGAACTGAGCCTAGTTAAATCCAGAGCTTTGAAGTTGGAAGACTATGTTTGTTTTTTCAGAAGCTACCCCGAGCATATTGCTGTTTGTCAGGCACATCATGTGAACACTCGAAGTAATGATGCTACTATACATCCGATTCACCAAAAGTTTCGACTATCGTCTTATTTTGGGTTCCAATTGATGACCGTCCACTAATTGTTAACTTAAGACGGAAATTTGGTGATAATGCTATCTTTGTGATAGAAAATGGTCTGCTCCAAACTTCAGGTTTCATGTTCCCATTCGTAGTTGGGTTTCAAAGATTTCTTCGAAAGCATGGCTTCCACATTCTCTTGATTGATGAATTTCAAAGAAGTAAAAGCTGTCCATATTGTGAAGGAATGGCCCTGAAAGCCTTCCAAATGGCACCAAATCACCATCCCTGTAAAAGGCAAGCTGAGATATTTACAGATAATAAAACTGAAAAAATAAAAGGACATAGTACTTGAAAACCTAGCGAATGGGTTTCTATGTAATTTCTTTATTAGATTTCAAGACAAACGAGAAAACCCATTTAATCAAACCATGCCTTTAGAAATATAATTATTCAGGAACCGAAGTGAATTCAAGGTCAATTATATTATTGAACTTGATGAACAATATAAATTTTTTATATGATTAACATTAGAAAGAAGTTTTAAAGGATATGTAATATATAATATTATGTATTCAGTACCTGTTATTACTTATATAAGATTTGTGCAATGTCATACAAACAGTAAGCGTTTAATAAGATAAATACGACGCAAGCCCTCCTTCAAGTAATTAGACCCGGCCTATTGAGATGTACAAATCAAAACTACCAATTGACAATGGTTAATAACAATGGGATGCTAACAATAAAGAATGTTTTCGCCTCCAGCATCGCAAATATAGCTGCCTACCTCAACATGTTACATATTTTTTGTTCACTTTGTGAGAATAGCCAGATTCCCGAAAGGTTCAGATGTTATGTTCCTAAACAACAAGAACCCAAGAAGACTAAGAAAACTAAGAAAAACCAGAGAGCATGCTGATGATCTACACGACCAACATCTAGCGTACTGTTTAACAAACTAGTAAATTTTCCTGTCCAGTTATCGCTGTACAGCATGTAGATGCATCAAATATAGGTAATAAACATAACAGTAGCTTTTGAATTTTTATTCATTCTTTCTCTTTTATTAGTTTTGTCTCTATACGTTTAATGATTATTCTTACTTTCTTGTAAGAGCACTAAACAACTCAACCAAAGACGAACTTAAACACACTTTTTTTTTTGCTTTCCATTTGAGATTCTATTTTTGCCAATTTTTATTTATGTTACGTTTCTTCATCAATTTTTTTACCTCCTCTTTTCCGATTATTTCAACTCGGTTTACCAATAATTAAT